GACCATTGTACTCAGCTCAGAGTTCTGCAAAATGCACGGGTGGCTGATCAGGGAGCTGGCATGCTGACAAGGTCTGCCTGTGCCTGCAGGACCTCACTAGGAATAAGGATGGGGGCAGCAAGCCAGGAAAAGTGGTGCAATCACCAGGGTGCATGAGGTACAGGCAGGTCGGAGAATCTGTAAAGAGTGACTTTGTAGAAAGAAACCCTTTGTTCTCCTGCTGTATTTCCCCATTGCTTAGGGACTGCCGCCAGACCTAAGTATAGGGAGTAGGCCATGACCACACATAGCATGAGCTGCTGTGGTCAGGCTTAAGGACATACTTTCTGTCACAAGGTAACTGAGACAGGAATGAAAATCTTTGTTGCCAGTCTCACATGCAGGAGAGGTGGGAAATAGAATCTGACTTGGTTAGGTGCAGCCAAGCAGGGTCTTAGTCTTAGTGGACCTGTTGTTAGGGAGAGGTGGTGATGACAGGATGCTCTTGGGCTTAGTTGGTTCAGAACTCATGTGTGGTTTGTCACTCTCCCCATGCTATTCAAGACTTTCATTCTCTTCGTGATGATTTTTCTTTCTTCTTCTTTCTTTCCGCATTGCCTTGACTTCTTTGTCTTTACCTGAATAACCCCAGTGCATTTTCTGAACCCAGTTCTTCAAGGAAAGCTTTTCTTGTCTGTCTGTCTTTCTCTTTCCTTCCTTTGTTCCTTCCTTTCATTCCTTTTAATTTCCCTTCCACTCCCCTCCCTCCATCCCTCTCTCCCTCTCTCCCTTCCTTTCCCTCTTCCTCCTCTTTGCTTTCTTGGATCACACCATCTGCAGCTTATATTCCAATGAGAGGAGGTCATGTCTAGCTCTGCCACAATATAAATGTCCTTAGCACAAAGAACTTTTCTTATTCACCTGTGTGAATTTGAATGTTTAACATATACTGGGTGGCCAATAAATATTTCTGGCACTATAGTGCTACACACACAATCATAACACCTCAGCCAGGTACTTACTCTCCTGTTTCTCAGGTTTCTTAAAGGCCAAAGGTTACATACAGGACTCTTCCTGAATTCAGGTCAGTGGTCTTGTCTATTGCCCCAATACTGGTCTTCCTCTCTATAGTGCATGTAAGGTCCTTTTGAGCCCCCTCCCCAAGTGTAACATCAATTCTATCAATACAGCCTGTAGGATCAGGTTAAGGGCACACAATAGAGTTGGAAAGGTAGACTGCTATACAAAATGTGCAGGAATTGCTTTTATTTGCATAGCAGCATGTCCAAATCTACAGGACAATGGCTGATCTTTTAATAGGTTTACAATGACTCTGCTTAGGTGCAGAACTATGGTTACAGGGATTTCTTCTTGCATAGAGAAGGACTGGAGCAGGGCCAAAGCATGGAAGGGCCTCGACCTCTTACTGTTCTCAGGGTTTTTAGGAACCACTCAAATCATAGCTAAAGCTGTTGGACAAGTCCAGACAAGGCATGTTGAGAAGCCGGGGTAGGACCCCAGGACAGAGAAGGAAGGATGGGATAATGAGTCTATGGAACCAGAGCAGGATGCAGTTGGGGTGGGGCGGGATAGGTGCCACTTCTGAGCAATGATGGTGTCTCTGGAAAAGCACCAGAAATGGGCGGGTCTGGGAGGAAGATGGCCAGATATTTGGGAGCTGAGGCACTCAGGTGACATCTATCTGGAAGAAATATTTACTGGGCACAATATTATTGGGCCAGATTAGCAAGTGTGTGTAGGGCTGGTGGCAGAGGGGACTCTCCCAATGACAGGTTGAAGTCAAGAGTAGTAGCCACAGAGGTGAAGAACACAATTGGAGGAAAACTAAATTCTAGCTTGGGTAACATGAGAAGATCCAAGGGACCAGAGGGATGGCTTTGAGAGGCAAAGATGCTTGCTGTCAAGCTTAAAGAACTGAGTTTGATTCCTGGGACCTACATGGTGGAAAGAGAGAACTAACTCCCTAAAGTTGTCCTCTACTCTCCACGTGTGCACTGTGGTGTGTACACATACATGTGGTAGAGGTCAGAGTACAACTTGCAGGGGGTCAGTTCTCTCCTTCCACCCTGTGGATCCTGGGAATTATACTTGAGTCATTGGCTTGGTAGCAAGAACTGCACCGTTCCACCCACTCCACTCACATTATTCATTTGTGTTGTAAGGAGTATGGATTTTCCACCTGCCGCCTGGTCTTGTCCCGCCGCCGCGCCAGCCCCAAATAATACACCAAGACTCTGTATTACATACAATTCTGTTGGCCAGTTACTTGTTTCTTATCAGCTAGCTCTGTCTTAATTATTAACTCATTTCTATTTGAATTTCCACATGGTCTCCTTACTGGGGAGTGGGGCAGGCGTCTGGTCTCCCCGGTCTCTCCATCTTGACCCCCCTTACTACTTCCTCTTTCCTCCTTGTCTCCTAGTCCCTCCTATCTTCCTTTCCTATTGGCCAACAGTGCTTTATTCATTAACCAGTATGAGAAACATATACAGAATGACATCTCCCATATCTGCCATTAGTTTTTTATGCTTTTTATTTTGTTTGTTTGTTTTACCTGACCTTTGCTTGAATTTGCCCCCAGCAGCTACCTCTGAGCAGGTTCTCATGATCTAGAATCAGACTGTATGAGAATGGACTTTGTTTCAGGAAGACAGGAAAGATCTTTTGTGATTTTGATGGGCAGGTGTTCAGTAATTTTTGTTTTTTTAAATTTTGTTGGGGGTGAGTAGGTAGGAAGATCGCTCCTGAATACTTGGACATAGACTGGAATTGTCCCAAGAGAAAGAAGGCTTTTTATTTATTTTTTTCATTATGGTAAAGGTTATATATATATATATATATATATATATATATATATGTATATATATACATATATATTATAATTTTTCTTATTTTACATATTGATCCCAGTTCCCTCTCCTTCCCTCCCTTGATCCCCCTCCCATCTCACCCCCCCACTCCACAGAGGGAGGGTGATGCCTTCCAGGAGGCATCATCGAAATCTGTCAAGTCATTTGGCGTAGGGTCTAGGCCCTCCCTCCTGCCTCTAGGCTAAGGGAGGATCCCTCCATGGGGAATGTGCTCCCAAAGTCCTTTCATGCACCAGGGATACATCCTGGTTCCACTGTCAGAGGTCCCTTAGATGGCCCAGGGGGTCTGAGTCGGTCCAATGCTGGTTTCCCAGCTATCAGTCCAGGGGTTAATAAGGCTTTTATGGACAGGTGTGCACCCAGGTCTCCCTTCCCTCCAAGCCTTCCCAGAGGACTAGAGTATCTGTTTTCACCAGACACATGGCTCAGCCTCTGGAACTGAAGAAGTGAATATAACTTCCTTTCACCATGGTTCATAGTTCTGAATGGGTATCGAGGGTCAGAGAAAAAGGATGGGGAGAGAAGTTGGATGACCTCCTCTGAGAGACATTTTGGGTTTCTTCAAATCATTGGCAGATGAGATTTTTATTGAACTCTGTGTTCAGATGAAGCAAAACCATGGGCCTTCTTGCTTCATTTCCCCCTGATCTTTTTTCTTTCTTTCTTTCTTTCTTTCTTTCTTTCTTTCTTTCTTTCTTTCTTTCTTTCTTTCTTTCTTTCTCAGTTTCTCTAATAAGGTTCAAAACTGGTCCCTACCCTACTTCTCCCTTCCCCAGTGATACTGCTTAGGCATGTAGACCCTCTTCTCTCTCCTGTGTTGAGTTTATCTAGGTGGTAGGGCATGGTAATCATTGCAAATGTCTCTAGTGGGGCATCGAGGTTACAGCCAGATCTTCATGTAAATGTCATTGTCCTCCACCCTGCCCTCTACTTCCTGAGGCAAGGCCAGCATGTGGTTTCCTGAGATGGTTGCCCAGCTTATCCAGTCTGGCTACCGAGCAGGTGGGCCGAGTCCTGCCCCCTCCTGGCACCATGCTCTTTGGCTGTGCAATCTCACACATCATTCCTTCCCACCCCCCTGCTTCTTTCGAGTAGATTTCCCCTTTTGTCCATCTCTTTAATTTTGTCCTTTGCTATGTCAAAACATAGCAAAATGAATTTAATTTTTTTTCTTTACCTCTATTGAAAACATAAGACAAGTTTCAATCTTATTAGATTAACAGATGGTATGCCAAGATGTAGCTGGATTTGGTGCTGTGGGAAGTGCAGGGAACTTTTTAGAGATGAATTGGGGGTGGGGGGTGAGAAGAAGGTTTTGCCCCAATGCAACAGCAATGTAACTTAATAGAGTGGCATGAACTGTGAGTCTGTCCTTTGATCACTTGCTTCTGCCTGCCTGGCATTTGTCTTCATTTTTAAAGTTAAGGATAGTGGCACTTGCCATTATGAGCTTGGTTGAATATCTTAGGACACATCGTGTGTGGGCCGGTGAGATGGCTCAGTAGATAAAAGCTCACTGTTCAAGTGACCTGAGTTCATTCCCCAGGACTCACACTGTGGTAGGAGGGGGACAGACTCCAGCAAGTTGCTGTCTGACCTCCACAGACATGCTGTGGCACATGCGTGCTCTCACACATACGTGCAAAAGAAAGTGACATAATCAGTGTTAAAAAAGGCATGTCCATGAAATAATATGTATGTGAATGCTTTGAAAAAGTGAGATTATCATCATGAACAAAAGTTTTGAAACTGTTTATAAAATGAGCTGGTGGTATTGAGTGATTGCCAATGATTCTTTCAGGGTCTAAATTATTTTCCCCAATAGTTTTCTGCCTATAGTAAAAGCTCAAACTGGGTGGGATGGGGAGATTGCAGGATGGGTGGGTTAACATTTAAATACCTACCTGCTGGTCTCTAGTCCTGTTTCCCTTTATACACTGGCACTACTGCTCCCTGCTGGCCAGTAGCAGCATTACAGTGCAGCGAATCCCTAGCTGGGGGCCCCCTCTCTCTGGTTTTCTCCTCAGCCTGTTGGCTGGGTCCTTTGCATGGGTCTCTGGCCTACTATCACTGACAGCGTTCCTTCCTCCTCCTTCTCACCTCATTCCCTGTCTCCATCTGCCCCTGCAGCACTGCCAGTAACTCCAACCGCAGCACGCCGGCCTGCTCCCCCATCCTCCGGAAGCGATCCCGCTCGCCAACACCACAGAACCAGGACGGAGACACCATGGTGGAGAAGGGCTCAGACCACTCTTCAGACAAATCCCCATCCACCCCGGAGCAGGGTGTGCAACGCAGTTGCTCTTCACAATCTGGTCGGAGTGGTGGTAAAAATTCCAAGGTGAGCAGACCATGCTGGAGATCCAGTACCCCTTGTTAGCTAGCTGCTGGAAAGTACTGGGTACTCCGGTGACTGAAGAGCACCAGTGTCTATGTGGTCAGGTCGCGTTAGGTCAGGGCTGACCGGGAAATCGTAGTTGAATAGATTCCCATCTAAGCACTCGGGTGGGCTGCGGGCAGGCAGGGGTGGGGTGGGGTGGAGGATGGTCCTAGCCACATGCCCCCCTCCTTTCCATCTCTCTCTGTAGGAATTAAGGAATTATGTGACCTTTTGAGATATGGAGAGGGCTCTGGGGATAAATCCTTTAAATTGGTCCCTTGAACTGGTAAAGGGACATTGTTTGGGACCACTGTGTTGCTAGAAAGAGAGGCTTCAGGGAACCTTCCAGAGAGCTATTTGCCCACCACCCTGCTTACCCTCATACTAACCTACTCATCTTGCAGAGAGGATAGTCCCAGGGCATTTCCTCCCTGTGCCTGCACACCTGAACCCCCAGGCTCCTGGCCCAAGGGTTAGCACAGAGGTCTCATGGGGTGTGGTTCTCCAGAGTTCTTCCATCCCCAGGCCTCTGCGAACAAGGGGCACTTCTGCCCAGGTGCTCCTCAGCCGACACACTCACAGGGCATGAGGAACAGGAGTCCACCCCACCCCACCCCCCGGGAGGCTTGGGATGGGAGCTAGTTTCCCACTTGAATTTGTCTTTTGATTTCTTGTTCTTCCTCTTCTCCCCACTGTTTCCCAAATACCTTCTCTGCATGCATGGTCTTAGTCTCACAAGCGCCTCTCAAAAGTAAGCCATCTTTTGTCTCTGTCTTTTACTCTCCCCCTAGTACTGAATTGTCTGTAGTGCTCAGCTCAGCACCCCTCCCTCCACCCCTGCCAATTCTGCCCATATGCCCTGCTTGGTTCCTTTCCCAGAAGGGCAGACCCCACTGTGCCCCACCCCCATCCCTTGGCAGGCTGGCTTGGAAGTCACTGAGGGACCACTCCCACTGCACCTGATATAAGAGAACAGACACCCCCCCACCCCCGCCCGCCCCTCCGTGTCTGCCCGCTTCTCAGACACCACCACTAGTGGGAATGCGTTTCTCTCCTTGCGTGGCACTTTCTAAAGGAGAGTCCTGCAGGGGGTAGTCCCATTCCTGTGTGTATGGGGCCTCCACTCAGTCACACTTTTTTTTGTTTCTTGTGGCCCCTTGATGCATACGCTTCTCTGGCAGTAGTGATGAGAGCCTGGCCAGAAGGACCACAGACAGAGGGTTGGTGACATTGACAAGACCTCAGGGGATCTGCCCAGTTCATCTTTCCCTCCATCCTGAGAGCTACTGGGCCAGGGCACCCCTTAACTGCTTGCTTGTCCCACTCTGGAATTCATTCAGGGTTTGCTTAGAGCCCTGGGCTTTGATCAAAGAGAGTGTAGTGTGAGCACTTGGAGGTTGGTGAATGTGTCAATACCACCAGGCTCTGGATCTAGCTATGGTTGCAGAGGGGAGTTGTGCCAGACTCTATCTACCCAGGGCCCCAGGATCTCTGAGGTCCAAGGGGAAGCTGGAGTGAGTAAATGGTGAGCAATTGGTGGTAAGAGAATAGTGCCCAGGAAATCAATCAATTGTGGGGAAACAGGGTGTCTGGAAGAAGCCAAAGGAAGACTCACAGTGCTAGTGTCCTCAGGGAGGAAGGAACAGCACTGTCCATTCCTAATGGAAGAACATGCAGCCCCACACCTGAGACTGCCCACTGTGCTCTTCACACTCAAAGCACTGGACTTTAAGTGGTTATTGCCAGTGGAGGACATCCTGGAGTGAAGAAGCCAGCAGGGGTCCTCTCTGGATGTAGGCAGCTAGGCAGGTTCAGGCAGGCTCGATCTGGGGACAGGAATTATGTAAGACCTTTTGTCTCTATGCCAGAGTGCTCACTCCTTTGCCTTAGGTGAAATGTGTACTGGAGGGCCCAAGGCTCATCTGGAAGAACAAGGAGGATCTGGCTGTTGGGGGGCATCAGGTTATTCCTTCTCTCCGTATCTTCTCCAAGTCTATAGTGTTTCCAATCCTAAAGTGAAGTGTACAGCTCTTATTCATTCAGTGAGCAGCACAATGCTTGCTGACCACTGATGTGGGTAGGACCACATCATGCAAGCACACCAGGGAGCAATTATGCTCAACCCGCCCAGAGCAGCACTCTTTCAAGGTGGCCAGATGTAGCTATGCAGAGAATCTGTAAGCTAGAGCTGTTTTTGCTACAGTCCTAGCTAGGCCACCCTGACCACCTCCTGTAAACAGGTCACCCTATGTGTTTTTCAAGCAGGCTGTAAGATGCCTCCTTCTTCACACAGGTAGGAGAGGTGGCAGACACAGTGTCTCTCTCTTCCGGCCTCCATTTCTTCATTTGTTAGATGCAGGATTGGGACAGGGGAATCATTAAGGCTTTACCTTCCCCCATCATTATCTCAGTGGTTGAGGCTGATTCTTGCTTCTGCTCAGGTCCCAGGGCTGACTTGTACTCTCAGAAATCCCTGTGTTTGGGCCACAATCGAGTTGCACTAGGTAGTGATGGCCTGTGGTCACTAGAGGGAGCCAGGGCATGCTTTCCTGCTCCCGCAAGCTCAGGAGTGCTGCTCAGCCCTTGCAGGCCTGCCAAGTAGATAGGGCCACTCAATCCTTGGCTCCTGCCTTGCCGCTTAGCTCTCTGTTGGTGCTTGGCAATGCCCAGTGCCGTGACACTAGTGCTGTTGTGACCTTTCACCTTTCTGTTTGTTTGCTTGTTTGAATTCTAATTTTTGTGGTTTTCTTTTCAGTATGACAAACTTAATCTGATCAAAGTAAGACATTGATGTTTTATTCCCTCCTTCCCAATTTATGTTTAATGTACAGCTTCTGGCCCCATTTCCCTTCATCCCCCTCCTCAGCCCACCTTCCAGACTCCTTGAGCCTTTGCTCTGGGAGATGCTTTTGGATGCAAGGGCAGGACACTGCTGTAAGGTAGTTCGGGTATGTTTCTAGGAGCCTTGCATTCCATCTAGTCCTTGCTTGTCTGAGTCCTTGTAGAAAAGCCCAAAGAAACACAGAACAAATCCTCCACCTCTAGCCCTGACCCTGCCTCCATCAGCTCTGTCTTTGTCCTCACCCCCTCCTCCCCTTTAATCATCTGTTACAAGCTCTTAGAACCTGGCCTCCTCTTAGTTCTGTGCCTTCTTGCCCACTAGCTCTATCCTCCAGGTAGGGGCACAGCTGTGGATTTACAATGGCAGGCAGTTTCTATGTCCTGCCTGTTGGCACCCCTGTCACCCTCCTGGGCCTTAAGCCTCTCTGAGGCCCTTCCTTCACAGGAGGTGCCTTTAGCCCTCTGCTCAGGAATGGGGAGCCATGAGGATGCAATTCTTCCCCAGGAACTCCTGCCTGTGGACAGTCCTTGAGGCACCCTCCGTAGAGCTGTGCTGGGGGCACAGCCTTCAGTGGGTGCCTTCCTCGTCTCTTTCAGTTCTTAGACTTCCTTGCTCTCACCTTCTAAGATATCACATATTAGACGTAGCATCACAGAGCTAATTAGAGATGGGACAGATGTTTCTAACTGAAGCTCTTGGGACCTTGAAGCGGTTTGTTTCAAGTTGTTTCTTAAGGAACTAACGTCTTGATGGTGCATAGAAAGAGATCTACTTCTGTCTGTATGGGCAGAAGGCAGGCACCGTGTCTGAGGATCACAAAGGGCCCTGTCCCCATCACTCACCCCCTTTCCTCCTTGAGTTGTATACAAAAGTTACAAGGAATGAAGTGCTTAGGTACAGTTGAGAGCTTCTCCTCGTCTGTGTCAGGTGACTAGCTTGGGTCAGGACTGGTATATCACAGTGTAATTGTGGATAGTTCAGGTGGAGGTTGCAAGAGTATACTTGCTGTCATCCTGATGTGCAGTTAACTAACATCTTCACAACCCCATTTCTTGTAGTCCTAGAGTCAGTTGTCACAGTGACCACTCAAAAAGTCTATAGAAATTGGGGTCCCATTAGGTACAACTTTCTTGCACTGTCCATTCTCCTCCAGGCATGTGTAGCCTTGGCTGAACGAGGGGAATGTTCAAGTCCAGAATTCCTTCCTACCAGGTAGCAGTTCCCACCCTGTGATGAAATAGTCTTGGATGTGTGGATTTGACCTTCAACTTCTGGATGGTAGGAGGGGGTGGCACTATGATAAAAGACTGCGCCATCTAGATTAGACCCCGGTGACATCCTTTTGAGGAATGACTACAGAGAGCCTCTAGCTGAGGGGAACTGAATGTCTACCTTGTTACCTGTTGCCCTGGGCAGGCTAGTCAGTGAAATTTGTGTGAGGGAGAAGCATATTCATACCTGATCCCCTTCCACTGCCTGTCTCTGGACACCAAAGCAGAAGTCAAGGTGTCAGGCAGACAGTCCTTCATACTTGGTTCATAGTCACCTAGTCGCCTCTCTCTCTGGGTCTCTCTCTCTCTCCCTCTCCCTCTCTCTCTGTCACACACACACACACACACACACACACACGCACGCACGCACACACACACACACACACACACGCACGCACACACTCACGCGCACGCAGCTTATCAGCTGACACAGTGGCTTCCCAGTTCTGCATTGATACACAAGCTCCAGGCTGCTGACTGTGCACAGGCTGCATACCTCTAGCACACACTGAGGCTTCAACCTGTTGGTAAAGTTTCTTACACAGAATGCTTAAATGTAGAAGCTGGAAACAGACACGGAACACTCTAGCCACGCACCTTCTTTCATTAGAAGATTTCAGGTCCCTTGGGGAGATCAGAATGAGAATTCCTCAACCATAGAGCTGGGACAGAATGTAGTGTGCGAATACCGAGTTGTCACACCATGGGTTGGGAGAAGCCTTCTGAGATGACAATTCTCCTTTCTTCCCCTGCCGAACCTCTGCTCTTAGCTGTTATGAGGTCAGCCAGTTGTTGGGATAGGATGAGTTTACTCATCTGCCAGCCAGCCAGGAGCATAGTGTGACTTTAGGCTGCCTCTTCTCCCTCCCCCTCCCCCCATCACCAAAATAGTCTACCCTGCCTTTGCCAGAGATGACTTGGAGCAGAAGGCTGTATTGGGCTCCATCTAGGCTTTGCTTCTAGTCAAAACCCACTTGCGGACTAGGCTTTGGATGCCTACCACACATCCGACCCCCCATCAGTAGAACCTGGCGATGGATGGGGCTCTGACTCCCTTCTGGTTGAGCGCTAGCTAGTGCTGCCACTGCCTGCATCTCCAATCGCCCCAGCTGTGGTGGGGCTTCCAGCATGGACTGCTCTCTGGTCCTCCTTTCTGGGGCTGTCTTGCGAAAGGAGGACCTTCCTGAGCATCAACATGGGAAGCATTCAGCTGCATTTGGATTCCTTCTCCCTGGCCACCCTCTGCTGTTTGTGTTACCTACACCCCAGGGGGAAGGAATACTCTAGCCACTCCCATTATCTCTTCCCTAGCTAACTTGGTTCTCTTTTTTATTTTTGTCTTTTCAGAAAAGCCAGAGTTGGTACAATGTAAGTATTTCTGTTTCTCTTCTGGTGGGTAATAGTAAACTGGGTATGTCTGTGTCTTGGGTGGGGTGGGTAGAGGTGGGCAGAGGGAAGGAAATGGGTCAAGTACAATTTGGGTTCTCTGTGAGCTTTTGCCCTTGTCAGCCTCTTGTCCCAAAATAGATAGAGTAGTTCCTGTCTAGGAGGATGGATAAGTCTTGGGGAGGTGGTTTGATTTGGGGACAGAAGAAATGACCAACTTCTTTGTTTTCCTCATTTGTGCCCTGTATGAGCTAAGGGAACATCCACTGAGGGGTGACTCTTTCAAGGCCAGACAGAATTCTGGAGTCAGGGGAGCCAGGAAGCCAAAGTTAGCATCTGCTAGCCAAGATATCCTGGGGGAACTGGAGTGGAGAGACTATGCTATGTGATGGGATGTGTCATAGACATCCAGTGTCCCCCAGAGCATGTGCCTGATGAAGGGCTTGGCGGCTGCTGGTCTGTTTCTTAGGTCACCTCTGGTGGCCGCTCATCCACCTCTGGACCCTGAGAAGGCTTTGTGGTGTAAGAAGTCTCTGTGAAGACCTCCTTTCTCCTCCTCACATGGATCAGGTCATCTCTTAGCCTGCCCTGGTCATGTGTTCTGTGTCCTCAGGAGGACTGCCCAGAAGAAGAGCTGACGGGCACTGTGCCCTGTCTTCAGACCCTTGTCTCCCCTTCTTTGAGCCTGTCTGTGCTGAGAAGACCACTCCTCCACCCCTACCCCAGCTCATCTCCTCTTGACCCTCGTTCTGCTCCAGCAGGAGCTGAGGTGTGGAGAAGCTGCAGAATGGTGCAGTGACGTGGGAGGGAGCAGAGGAAAAGCCTAAGGAGAGGCTTGCGTTTAATGTGGGGCTGTGGGTTCAAGTCATCCCTACGGGTCATGTGTGTGTTCCAGCATGGTAATAAGTAGTTCCTTAAGGTTAGACACATGTCAGCTAACACTCTGGCTTCCCACAGGCTGCTCTCTGGGCCTGCCTATCTCAGGTGCTTTTTATTGAGCTATAAATGGCCGGTGTTGATACGAGGCAGTTGAGGACTGGGATGACAGTAGGTGGAAGAGAAGGCTGACCTCTGCCTCCCCTTGCCCCTTGCTTCTCCCTGACTCCCCAAGAGTCTTCCTGCCGCTGGCCTCCTCGGGCTGATAGCAGCTGGTATCTTGGAAGGAGGAGCTCTCTGTGTGTGGGAGCTGTCCAGGCCCAGTTGTTACAAATACCCCAGCATCCTCCACCCAACTATCTCCTTTTGAGTGGCATTGCATAAATTAGTGTCGCCTAAGGGAAACAGAAAACACATGGCCACAGTGCTATTGGGCAATTAAAACATCCAAATTTGGACATGCAAATCTTGTCCTTGTTGCCACTTAGGCTCTCATCGCTCCCTTTCTCCTCGAATGGCTTTTAGCACAGCTGCTGCTATTTGCCTTTCTTTCCCATCCCTTGTACCGTGGTCGTCTCCATGCTCTCTCCCCTGTACACACCATCCTTTTCTTCCCCCTTCATGCTCTTTTCTGATCTGCTTTCCAGTCACCTGACCGATTTCCTATTTCTTCCTGATTGCTAACAAGTTTTCAACCGCCCTGCCCCTCCACCTCCTTCATCTCCCTGTCCTCCCTCAGCCTGATCTCGAAGATGTGACATCTGAGCACTCAGTGTGATGGCAAGCTGGGAGGCCATGCCTCTTGGCTGGAGCGTGGGGGTGGGACATCTGCCTGCAGTTGAACTTGATGGACCTCCAGGATGACCACCAACACATCCCTTTCTGCCTGCTCTGGGCTGCTGCCTGGTGGTGCAGGAAGCAGAAAGGATCCAAGTGGAGGAGGAAACAGAAATGGCAGGTGGACATCAGGACATGAAAAACAGTTTCCAGTTGCCCTAGCTGCTGCTACTAAGAAGTGTGCATGGAAATCGCACAGCCCATAGCCTCTGCTTTCATGTCTTCCTGCATTTCCTGTACCAGAGGTAGCTCCTGAAGAGGTTGATGAATAGCTGCAAGCTGGATACGGCGCCCCAAACAGGCTAGTTGGATGGGATACTTCCACCCTTACTGATGAGACAAATGCCCTGGTTCAGTTTCCCAGAGCCACTTATTAGTGTAGTTAGCCTGTCTGTTTGACACTAAAGAAGTTTCCCTTGAGTGCTCTCTGGCCCTGCCAGGACATTTACCCTGGACGTTGGCACAGTTGCCGTGGTTGGAACTGGAATCTATGACCTGGGTTCTCTGAGAGCCACCTGTTGGGTAGGGTTCTGTAGCACTTGCTGGGCCTTGGCTGGCTAAGTACCTTTTCTTTCTGAGTGCTGTGGCTACACCTTATATACTTGTGTTCAAAGGCATCATCAGGGGAGCTTTGGTTGGCCCCTCCCTCGGCATTACCCCCTCCTAGTCTCTCCATTGTTGTGGCCTGCTTTCCCTTAGACCTGCCTCTCATTTCTCTTGCTCCCTGCTAGCTGGCTGGCTGGAATCCGACTTTCAGAGAGGGTCCTGGTGTCCTGTTCCTGCGGCTGCAGACTTTCTTTTCTTTCCCCCATCTGTGCTCATTTCACCAGCGTGATGCCTCAGGTTCTATCCCTCCAACTAGGATTCCTTTAGACGGGGTCAGAGTTCTGCATAGGGTTGACCACTATAGGAGTCCCTGGAGACCTGTTCAAGGGGCCTGGGTGTAATTTAAGAGGAAGCCACTCTGCCCTCACCAGTCTGTAGAAAAGCAACTAACTCATCATCCCACAACTTGCCAAGGGAAGCTGTCAGCAAAATAAAAGACTAACCTGACCTGATGGGTGAGTCATAGGAAAGGAAATGGCTAGACCCCATTAACATAGGGGAGAGTCTATGGAGGGTGAAGGTCACGGTTGGGGTAGAATGTGAAGACTCTGTCTTGTGCAACTGCCCTGGGACCCTTCTTACCCTTTCACCATGGGCTGACTAGCTCATTTTATTCAGCAGGGCCTCCAGCCTGGGAGCACAGAGGTGCAGCCCCAGTGGTCAGGAGCTTAAGGGATCAGGTGACAGGGCTTTTGGAACTGTGGTCAGAAATAAAGGTGGTCAAACTGAAGCCTGAGGGACACATGTGCCTTTTAAATATGATCCTTCCTGGTCCCAGTAGGCACCAGTCTGGCTGAGCTCCTGGTGGGTAGATGGACCCTCCTGCTTTATGTCTCATTCCTGGGGTGTTAGTGTTTCCATAGCAACTTAGGGACAAAACCTAGAATAGGGCAACTGCTGGAGACAGCATCCACTGTCTGACACTGTCCTTTGTTAGGAAAGCCGGCTTTAAGAAGGGAAGGAGGATTGGTGCCAATCCTGGGAATGACATGGCAAGTCTAGCTGGCATCGGTTCGAGAACTGTAGGACAAAGCTTTGTAGGAGTGGATGCAGGCATTGGGGGTAGCAGAGATGACACATCCAATGCCTGGTATTTCCTTCATGGACTGGCTTTCCTCTTCATCCATCTGTCTCCCAGGGATGATTTTTACCCATAACTTTGAAGAATCTCCCTGACTGTTACCCTCATGACAGTCAACCCCATCCTTCACTCTCCGGTAGTGTATGTATGTCTTCTCCAGATGAGATCCCCATCCCAATCCTACCCTTTCCCCACCCTTCTGCATTGCACCCATGCCCACCCCATGTTTAGTCACCTTCTCTTGTCTCCTTGTCCCACCCACATCTGGCTTCTGCCTACCGGATTTGGCTGAAGCAGCAGGATTTCCTTTGTGGCTCTTAACTGGTTTCTTCCCAGGTGAGGTCAATGCTGAACCAAAATCTATTTTGTTTTTCCACCTGGGCTCTCTCACCCCCTCCTTCCTGCTGAGGCTGGAGAAAGGGTACCAGTTAGTCCCAGCACCAAGTGTTTGCCATAGAGTTAATGTTTAGCTAAGAGTCAATTCCGGCTCCTGCAGTTCTGGCCCTGCCCTGCCTGGCCCTAGAGAGGGGGGTGGATTCAAGGGCTAATGCAGACTGAGACTCATCTCCTATGCCACTATCTCTCTGATCTCTCTGGTTGTAAACTGTCCCTGCCTTGTCCAGACATTCACCATCTCACCTGTCCTGTGTCTGTGGCCTAGATACCAGTGTTTCCAAGGAATTTCTGCTAAGTTCCCGGAGCCTCCTGGTACTGTCTTTACTGCCTATATTATGAGTGTGGTGTGGACCTGAAGAGAGGTTTTGTGATCACCTTGGAAAACAGGATTGCTGCAATCACCTTTCACAAAATTTGAGGACCACTGATACATAAGCAGAGAGAACTTGATCTTAGGATAGAGTCGGAGGGCAGGGACTACACTCCAAGAAGCCAGGTTTATGATCTAGGGATCTGTAGGGGTGTGTGTGTGTGTGTGTGTGCGTGCGTGCGTGCGTGCGTGTGTGTGTGTGTGTGTGTGTGTGTGTGTGTGTGTGTAGGGATGGTGATAAGATGCCAATAGAGAGATAGGAGATACGTTCATGTGGTGATAATTTTTATACAATATATGAAATACTAAGTGCTAGAGAAGAACAAACTGAAGGGTGGCTCATTCCTGGGGAAGATGGCATCCAATGGAGTGGGGTTTACCTTAGGTTGGATGAAGGCAGGTGTCCTTCAAGATGGAAAGAGGAGGGAATTAGGGGACACCTTGGGCAAGGATTCTGTCCCCTCTTTTTATCCTAACAGTGACTGTCATGTTCCTCGTAACTGGAGTCTTTGGGTCTGAGACCCAAGAATCTGTGTTCTTTGACTTCACTGGAAGTCATTTTTAAATTCATTATATTCATTTTTAAATATGCTAAAATTCCAGCATAAGAAATTACTAAGGTTTATAAGACAAAGAAACATTACCCATGATGCAGCAGGCCAAGCCCAAGAGCAAGGGAGCTACCTACCTCCATTGTTTCTGGAATCTTGTGGGAGTCCACGCCTTCCCATCCCCAGTGCTGTTTACTTCTCATCTCTACCTCTCTGTCTGGGACAGTGGTTCTCAACCTTCCTACTGCAGGGACCCTTTAATACATCTCCTCGTGTTGTGATGACCCCCAACCATAACATTATTTTCTGCTGCTTCTTCGTAACTGTAATTTTGCTGCTGTTGTGAGTCATCATGTAAATAAATGTGACATTCAGCCCCTGCGAAAGGGTCATTGAACCCCCAAAGGGGTCATGGCCCACAGGTTGAGAATCACTTTAGAGCCCTTTCTGCCCCCAGGGCCTGGCTGCTATCTCTTTCCTTTCTTTGACTTATCACCAAGGTCCAGGGGGTCTGCTCTTACTGTTGCTATTTTGCCCTTAAGGTCTGAGCAGCTTGCCGGGGAGTCTGCTTGGCTTTGATCCTATACCTCCATGTATGGAAGTTGGGGCCTAGTCCTCTGGAAGGCACCTCAGGCTAGCCTCCTCTTCTCCAGTCTAATCTGTCTGACTTCTCTGTGGCCAGCACATTTGTAGAATCCCATGTTTGCTGCTGTCTCTCAGGAAACCCCTGCTCTGTTTAGTCTCACGTTTCCCATTTCACCAGAGTTGTGATACCCTGGGCACCTCCCCTTCTCTTCCTCGACTGAGAGCCTTGCCTGGCCAGCAACTTTCCATTGCAGGAAACATCTGTTGGTTGAGGCCAGGATAGGCCTGGGGTTACCAAAGGACATTGGGCAGGCCCATCACCCAGATCCTGTAACTTGAAGCATGTGCAGGGGCTCTGGCCTTGCCCGCCCACCAGCCCTGCCTCCCTCCCTCCTTCCCTCCCTGGGGCCCCAGTGACTCTTAACAAAGAAGTCATTTGCTGGCCAGCTCAAAGGAGTGCCTTCTGGAGGCAAAAGGGGTGTGTGCAGGGGTGGGGACAAGAGCACCCCATGCTGCAGCTAAGTGGTGACTGACCCTTTCTGCCTGGGTGAGAGACATGAGTCACCGAAAGTCCTGGTCTGATGGGGGATAGAAAGTACATTGTTGACTAAACAGGCCAGTCTGTGGGGCAGATCTGGACTAAGGATCTGGGCCATCATGGGCTTCTCTCGAGCTTCGGAAGAGTCACTTGTGAGTCACTCGGAGTGTGAGTAGCTAGTGGAAACAGACCTCTGGACCCAGCTGTGGGTCATCCTGCTCTGCAAAGTTTGCCTGTTCACGTGGTGGGGCTGCCCTTCCCCAACCAGCAGCCTGCGTTGTGTGCCTGCTGTATCTATGTGTTCGGGCCTCACCTGGACTCTTGAGTGGCTGCACCCACCAGGGAGTATTGCCTGACCACACCCCCTCTGGGCTGTCCCCAGACTGAAGACAAGGGGAGGATGAAGCAGAGCCCGGCTGTGGGATACTGGCCAGCCAGCCCGCTCTGAGAACCCGGCTTATTGTATCTGTTCATTTGTGAGAGTTTGCACTGGGAGCACGGCTCTAAGAGAGAAGACACCAGCTAGGGTTCTATAGACCCAGAGCAGAAGCCAGAGATCACCTTGTGTTGAGTCCAGGCAAGCCTCACTGTTTTCATTCTGAGGGAACCTGAAAATCAGCATAAGGACCTGGGGACCCTTGCCTGGGACACTGTTGGGGCTGATGGAGTCTCTGACAGAGTCTGGGGTCCTCTGGAGCCTCCTGCTGGAACTGGACAGCCAGTCTCTGCTGTGGTACTTGAAGAGGCTTGCTGATGCACCTGTTGGTGTGGAATGCTACTGCTGGCATGGATCTGAGAATATCCCAGCCGTGAGTGTGTAACCTGAATTCTCTGTGTCCCTGTGACTATTCTGTGTACTCTCTCATGCCAAACTTGGCCCTGCTGAGAGTCTCAGACTTGACAACCCTTGAGCCAGAATTCTTTGGCCATTTTACAGAGGTGAGACTTGCCTCACCCTTGGAAGAGAATGTTTTACGACTACATAGGGATTGGGTGCAGAGGGCTAGGTTCTCCAGCATTGACGGGGCATAGGATGGAAAGCCAAGCATTCCCATCCAATGTGTCTTTGTACTTTAGTACAGGGAGACTGGCCTATCAGCTACATCGACAGTGGAATAAGGATAGCTAGGTACAAGTGCAGAGTAAGGCGGAGGCTTTCCCTATTCTTACCTACAGCTAATTGTCCTTTTCTGCTTGTGTTTGGGAGATTGTACCTAGTCTTCTGTACCTCCATCTCTGTGGGTCCTGGAACTCTCTCATTGGATGATAGAAGCCCAGGGAAGAGGATGAAATATTGGAACTTGGAGGAAGGACTCTAGGCATCAGGTTACTGGATGCCTGATACTCAGTTGCCCCTGAAGTAGTTTTGGGGTCCCCTAGTAGGCTTCTCCTCATACAGGAACGTTGTAAAGACTCACCCAGGGATGTGAGAAGCTAGTGGGAGACCCAAAGCAGGCGAGTGTCTTCTCCCATGAGTGTGTTGTTTCTTTTTATCAGTTGGATAACACTCATGTTCCATTCCCACTGGGTCTCCACATCCCTCAGGCAAGCTGCTTAACCTCTGCCTCATTTCCCACAAGTATGAAGTGGGTTAATGAAGTCTACCCTGTGGTGAGATGTGGTGATGTATGTGGTGGACATGTGCTTGCTGTGGGGTGCGTATAGTTGCCTAGAAGGTGAGATATCACAAGAACTACAAGAGCAGTCAGGTTGTCAAGCGTGGGTTTCCTGTGCTCAGATTCTGTCCTGTATTTAGTGATTCATGGAGGACTGTTGTATCTGAGGTCTTCATTTGTTTCAGTTTTGTTTTCGAGACAGGGTTTTCTCTGTGTAGCCTTGGCTGTCTGGTACTCACTCTGTAGACCAAGCTGACCTTACACTCAAGAGATCTGCCGGCCTCTGCCTCCCAAGTGCTGGGATTAAAGGTGTGTGCCACAGCTGGCCTGTCTAATGTCTTTTCAAGTCATAGAAATCATAAGATAGAGAAGCTTCTAGATAGCCTCCTAGTAGTTTGGAAACCTGGTTCAAGCTCATATAGGTGATTTGGGAAGTTTGACATTATATGCTGATAGTGAGGTATACTTTGGGAATGGTAACTGGGCCTCTCATGTGACACATGTAAGTAAATCAGAACAAAAGCTTGAAATTCAAATTGTAGACAGACTGACGGGAAGTTCCTTTTCCTTGGCTCTTCTCTGGTTTCTGCCTCTTGGAGCATTGACCTAAACTGAACTCACACCCTCCCTCCCTCCCTCCCTCTCTCCCTCCCTCCCTCCCTCCCTCCCTCCCTTCCTCTCTCCCTCCCTCCCTCCCTCCCTCTCTCTCTCTCTGTGTTTCCCCCTTCCTGTTCCTCTTCCTCTAGTCAGAGTGTCAGGTTGTAGCAGAGGCAGGCAGACGCAGTCACTCCCAGACTTTGTTTCCACGTGGGCCGTTTAACTTCATAGAAAGTTGAAATGTGAACAGTTGAAGGGTCCATCCCCTGTGTGCCTGTGGATTCCCAGGGAAGTGGGTGAGAGGGTAAGAGGCCAGGAACCACATGTCACTGCGAGCAGGACAATCTGTCCCTCAGGCCTGTATCTCTGGCAGAGGGTCAGCAGCCTGGTGTGTCTGTAAGTAGGTCAGCACATGGCCGGGCGGAATGCAGATGTGCCTCTGTCCTCTTGTGTGGCTTTCCGCAGGTTGTATACGCTTTGTATCATCCTTGAGTGTCCTTCGTCTATGGGCACCCATCTTATTTATTTCCCTTCATTTTGTAGAAGCTTTTAAGGCTGTATGCTCTGACAGGGCAGAGTTCCTAACTATTGCACTGGCTGGAGGGATTTCCAAGGAAGATTTGCTAAGTTAGTCTGTGGGAATGAGCAGGTACAGGATGCACAGCTGTTCATAGATCTGCTTCTCTACACTATACAAGTCCTTGTTCTCTCCTGGCTTCCTTGGCTTATGGCGAATGGACTCTCATCTTGGACTCTGCCACTATATCGCAGTTGGGAGCCCCTGGGCATAGGGCTTTTCTCTTGCCTCGGTCTCCTCACTGTACACTGGTTTGGCAGATCATCTGGTGAGAATAGGGAGGGAAGTGTCGTTCCTGTGTGCCTGATGTACTTTTAACTTCACAACTTGTGTTTTGCCTTCCTTTTCTTTCTGATACTGAATTTTTGAATTTTACCTAGTGTCATGCTTTATGATTTACAAAATATAATGTCTTCAGCTCACCCACCATACTGGCCATAACAGAGTTCGAGAGGCCCACAGTGTCCAACCCTCTTCAAAGTCCTGCTGAGAGCTACCATGGCCCTCAGGTCCTTTCCATTGCCAAGACAGAGTTGGCAGGAAGCAGGGGAGTGATAGCTGACATCTTAGATCCTTAGACCCTTGAAGGTTTCCTTCCTTGCTTTCTTTTCTTGGGACATATGTGGACACCTTATTTCTCACTGACCAATGCTGCATGGAGGGTTTTTCAGAACTAGATCCTCTATGCTATTTCTCTACACCCAGGCCCCTTTCTTAACTGGGCCTCTCAGGGACTATGGGCAGAGAGGTGCCTCTCTCTGCCCTCTCTGCCTTTCTAACACATAAGCATTCCCCTTCTCCACCCCAGCATCCATCTCTGATCCCGCAGCATGTGGGCACATCATGCTAATGTTGGCTGTTGTCTCACAGGTGCTAAGCCCCACTTACAAGCAGAGAAATGAAGACTTCAGAAAGCTCTTTAAGCAACTTCCAGACACGGAGCGCCTCATTGTTGGTGAGCTAGTAACCTGGGAGGGGGCCAACCAGGAAGTTTGGGATTTCTAGAGAGAGAGAGTGCTCAGGCTGCCTCTGATGGGATGCTGAGAGCCAACACAAGCAAGCAGGTGGAGCTGGCATCAGGCAATATCTTAAGTCCCAGATCTTAGGCTCTAGCACCATGCCTATGGCATGCATCCTTGAGAGGCCACCTAGGAGGGATTCAGAGGCATACTTCCCTCTGAAAATGGTCATAGAGCCAGTTTCTGCCATGGTAGTAAGAGGATGACAACAGCACTGGCCTTTTTAATTGGTTTAAAGCTGGCCAGTCATTGACTATAATACTCATTCATTTTCCTGCCGCCAGGCAGGAGTGTACTTCATCTCTGTGTTCTTGTCATGAGATGTCAGTGACTTCCCTGGCTGATAGATCAAGGGGCTTGCACACCTAGTCAACAGCATATGGCTGGTCTCCCCCAGTGCTAGAGGGATAGGTGGCATGCTCACTGTACACTGACTGGTTTGCTGAAAATGTCCCCTGCTTATTTCTGGAGCTTCCAAATCCTGCTTTCTCCACAGATTACTCATGTGCACTCCAAAGAGACATTCTTCTTCAGGGCCGACTCTACCTCTCAGAAAACTGGATCTGCTTCTACAGCAACATCTTCCGATGGGAAACTCTGGTAAAGAACTTGGACTTGCGTTAGTGGGGGGGCAGTGGGGGATGCAGGCATTGTATCTCAGGGGTAGTATGCATACCACTTAATCAGCACATACAGGCTTCTCTGCGCTTGTCCCCAGTGTTGCAAAAAGGAAAGAAGGAAAAGACCCAGACTTGTCCCCTTGGGCATCACCTTGGCCATGACTGAGCAAGCTGCTTCCATTGTCTTCATTTACTGACTTTATGTTCTTCCCAAGCCTCTGTAGTGTGTGCCCCCACCCCTACCTCCTAGCCCCCAGACAGATTGCAGCCTTGGCTGGCCTTGAACTCAGAAACCCACCTGCCTCTTCCTCCTGACTGCTAGGACTGAAGGCATGCATCACCGACCCCAGCTCTTCCTTTATATTGTTAGCACAAACCTATGCCTGAGCATTGGAGGATACCCGATTCTGAGTCCCAGTCATGGATGGCATCTCTACTGCCATGCATTTCTTTCCTGCTCTTGGGTGTGGAGGACAGTATAAAATTTTTTTCCTTTGGCAAATGCAGATAGCTGTCTGGCACATTATAGCAGAGAGAGGCAGTAAAGTGGAAAGGACATTGGCTGAAGGGCTCAGAAGATCTGACTTGCACACTTTCTGAGTTCTTCATTTTATCAATTATGATGCAGATGATTTTGTGAGTAGCAAAAAATGGCAGGTCCTCTGTCTGTGTATCAGGTTGTAGAATCTAGTTGTTCCGTAGCACATGACTTCTGTGGCATAAGGTGTAAACTGTGTGTTCTCTAAATTGGTCCGTCCTGGGGACAGAGGTATGGGAACTGCAATGTGATTTTGCCTGGCCACTATTGGTGCCACATGAACACTCTTTGCCTGATTGTACTAATGCCCGCTTTTGCTTGCTACTGTCACCATGGGGATGCCAGCTGACAGTCCGCTTGAAAGATATCTGCTCCATGACTAAAGAGAAAACAGCTCGCCTCATTCCCAATGCCATACAAGTCTGTACTGATTCAGAAAAGGTGAGTGTTGTCAAGTTCTAACCTTTCTGCCCATGCCCTCCTACCCAAATCCCATTCCCCATCTCTCCACTTCTGTATTCTCACCTTAAGCCATGGTAGTCTTTAGACATGATACTAGTTCTAGAGCAGGGTGAGCTCACCCTGGGTGAGCAGGGTGGTTGGAGGCTGAGCAAGGGGTTAGGGTAGCATGTTAGAACTTGAACTTTGAGCCAGAACACCTGATTTTGTGTCTTGCACCTACAGACTGTGCTGGATAGCTTTCATATGTGTATTTAGACCCAGCTGAAAGTTGCTGGGTCAGTAGGTTTGCCTCATCCTGTTTATGCTGTGCCCCAGCTCACCTCTTGCCCTGTTCCAGTTGGTGTGCAAAGAACATTTATAGTTTTGAAGACACAGTTTAGAACTAGAGTAAAAAACACAGAGGAGAGTGTGTAAAATATTGAAGGACTTGGTTACAGTGAGGACGTAGAGCTTTCAGGTCCCCGTATGCTGACGATTTGGGGTATCAGTAGCATTTGAGGCTGAGTATTTTGAATGAGAGAAAGGAAGGCCGTGTTTCCATTCACTGTGTTGTAAGTTTTCACAGGTGTTTCTCTGCATCTTCTGTTCCAATCTAGCACTTTTTTACTTCATTCGGGGCCCGGGATAGGACATACATGATGATGTTCCGACTCTGGCAGAATGCTCTCCTTGAAAAGGTAAGTACTAAAGGGGAAGTGGACATAAAGTTCCTCTGTTACTGGATGGATAGACAGACAGACAGACAGATTATAGAGATAAGGGATTGGCTCTGTCCTTCAACCTGGGGAAGCCACCCACTCAAAGTGCTCTTGTCACTTGGGTATTGCCCCAGTTAGGAAGTGTGCTTTTATTGTGCTATGTCTGGATCTTAAGGAGCCCATGTTCCTGAGAATCTCCCACTGGTAATCTTGACCTGAGTCCTGAACAGGGTCAGGATTTTTTTTTTTTTTTTTTTTTTTTTTTTTTAATGAGAATGTCCCAGCACTTCCAGAAGTAAGGGACCTGTGACTTCAGGCATTTTAGTCCCACTGTTTTATAGTGCTCTAGGACTTGGGTTAGCCAAGTAGAATGAAGTAGGTAGCCATAGAAAAACTGTTGTGAAGGAAGCAGGTTTCCTATCCACAGGTTCTCCAGAAATCAGGTATGTCTTCTCAAGTCATGCCAGGCCACATGGAGAAGCACTGTGGCTGGTCAGGAGGCAAAACAGGCAGAAGAATGGGCAAGAGCCTTTACCATGATCTCCTGGGATCAGCTGGGGTGGTCAGGATGAACAGGCCATGAAGGTACAGGATTAGTCTTTAATATTCATTTCAGCAGCCTTTAGGGTCTGGAGACTATCTCAGGTTGCCTGGCATCTGGTTTTAGGATACCTAGCCTTAAGAGAGGAAATTTGTCAAGCTATAGAAGGGGGAATTATTGCCTACCTGTAAGTTGATCCCAAGTCTCTAAGAACTTGCTATCCCTGGGAGGTTCTACCCTGGCCAACCAGACACCAGGTCTGAGAGAACCACCAATAAAGAAAACCCAGTTAAGATAGCCACCAACTGATGGCTGGTGTGTTTGCATTAGGTTAGGATACACAGGTGGAATATTACAGCCCATGTCCATAGAGAGTTCCCATTTCAAAGCAGTCAGATGTTGGGGGTACTCTCCAGGCCAGAGAAAGAAACATGGGGGGATCCCTTTATAAATAATATGTACCTCCAACTAGGTTACCACATGATTGGCATAAATGTGTTAAATACATGTATGTATGTATCTGCCTTGTCTCTAGTCTGAGCTAATTATTCTCTGGAGAAAATCAACTGAATTAATTTTTATCTACAGTTTCTTCTAATTTGAGCCTCTAGAGCCCTGGTATAAATCTTGGTAACTTTTTGAGCTGAGTTCTTCTGGCCTTATTAAGCATCAATTATGGCAAAGCAATAAAGCAATAATGGGTCTAGATATTTCCTGGAAGGTTTGACTTTTCAGTTTACATCTGTGGTCATTTCTGAATAGGACATAGAATCATGCACTGGGCACTGCAGTGTCTTCAAAAACGACTCTTACTAATGACTTTTATCTAATGAGGTCTGCTAACTGTGCTTGTCCTGACTGTGTGAACTCTAGCTGATCCAGGCAGACCTGGCCAGGGAAAGCAATACGGGGAGGGTGAATGGTGAAGCAGGCTAGGACAGAGTTTGACAGAAAACAGGTGTGTTCTAGGCAGGAAGAAGGGCGTCCACATAGGCTAGAGATACCAGGGGAGGTCTTGATAAGAGATGGAGGAGTTATTCTCATAATCACCACTGAAAGCTAGCGCTTAACACCTGCTTGTACAGAAGCAGGACACAACTGCCATTCTAGATGGTTCTACTAAGTCAGAAAACTGGAAAGTTGACTTAAGGTATTTTTCCAGATGCCTGAACCATTCCTTCAGAGTGTGGGTCTGGAGGCCTCTTGTATTATTCAGAAAGTCTATTGGTGTCAGGATTCTTGAATTTATATTTATACTTATTTATTTTTACTCATAGGCTGTATCTGTTTTTCTTATGCTCTTACCCCCCTTTTCACATACTTGTCACTAGTACTTTCTTCAATAATGGCTTTCACCCATGATCTTAGCTTCTTTGACTTTATTTTTTAGTTTCCCTCCCTTGCTTCTCTCTGGAAATTGTATCCTATGAAAACTAGCTTTTCTTAGGACAGTATTCTTAAAGAGGACAAATAGATGCCTCCTCAATAGGTAAACACTGAAAGCTAGACACAGGATTGTATACAAATTGATTGCCCTTCAGAATGAAGAAGGAAATACCCAGGTTGTCAGGAGAGGGCTGGGGTGTTGCAAGACTGAGTCAGTGCACCTGTGGGTGTTCAGAGATAACTGTGGCCCTAGATTAATAGGGGTGCAAGAGGTGGGGTACTTCCCATCTTTGGAAGGTCAGTTAATCCCATCCTGCAAAGCTTCAATGAAGGGACAGGCAAGAAAGGTCCACATCCTTGGTTTTTGTTGGAATCTATATTTTCATGCAGGAGATTGGCATCTAACAGGGATATCTGAGGTGGATGGTATTGTTTTCATGCAGGAGATTGGCATCTAACAGGGATATCTGAGGTGGATGGTATTGTCATAGAGATGTACTATGGGAAGAAAGCCCTTTGGCTTATTTCCCCACAAGGGGGCCAGCCTGGCTTAGTGCTTATGTGCTGAATGGCAGAGCCTGAGGAAGGGAGGATCAGGGTCACTGCTCTTATCTCTTGCAGCCCCTGTGCCCCAAGGAGCTCTGGCACTTTGTCCACCAATGCTATGGGAACGAGCTGGGTCTAACCAGTGATGATGAGGATTATGTGCCTCCAGACGATGACTTCAATACAATGGGGTGAGTGTGGCCTTGGGTGAGCTTCCCAGAGGATGTGGGGATCTGAATGGCAATGAATACATCATTGGAAAATGGTATCGGAGTACCACCCTACAGGAAACAATGGAGGGAACTAGTGTTTCAGGAAGAGGGAACTGTAACAGAGATGTATGGCTGCAGACGTGATCAGAGATTAAGCCAGGAGGCCAAGAGAGCAGGGACTAGTAAGTAGCCTTTTGGTCAGTGTGACAGCTGGCTTTTAGGCAGAAAGGGAGGGGCAGGTTTGTAATAGACAGTTGATAAGTTCTGAATTAGCATCCAAACAGGACCAGTATGGCTTCTGTATTGGAAAGACACTCAGGTAGAGAACAAGGGAGACCTGTTGAAAGGTTGCTCGATGATAATTTAGAGGACAGACGGTAGTGGTGATTGTAGTAGGTCTGGTAGTAATTAGTTCCTCATAGTATTTTGAAGGATTTGTTGATAGCTCAGGTTTAATATAAAGTTTGTTCATGTAACTCTTTGGACAAATGGAGTGGTTCCAAACATGAGATGGGGAATACTGTTGGCAGAAGATTGTTGAGATTAAAAGGTTCGTTTTAGGCAAACGGGGAATCCTGCTAGCCAAGGGGACAGTTCAAGGAAGCCTCTGAAGTTGGCTGTTAGGTTCTTGGGGTAAGTTTGGACCAGGGCTATACAGCTAAGAGTCACCTGTGGATAACCATTTGGTTAGCTCAGTCCTCCAAGTGAATGAGCATAAAAGGACATTCAGGGTCTAGGCTTGGAAGCACTCAGCAAGAGAGGGAAGCAGAGAAAGAATATTCCAAAAAGGAAGGAGAGTTTCACACTAGAAGCTAAGATCAGAAAGTTAAGGATGGAGACTCTCACTGAATGACATGCTGCAAGTAGGTTAGAAAGATGGGGAGAGTGGGTGACTGACAGCAGTTAGGTGTGTGGGGACTAAATGTTGTGAGAAGCCAGTAAAATAGGAAGGAAGGAAAGGGCATTGAGAGTACTTAGACCTTGGCTTGAAACAGCATTAATATTGCTTTCACATTAGCTCTGTTGAACCCTGTTTTCTGATGTCTAAAATGTATATCATGATTTACTTGGAGCTGTAATACATCCAGATGCCACTAAATGTACAAATGAGATGTTAGTGCCAATGACTGTGAGGTTAATGTCTGTGGCAGTGGCACTCTTGCAGTGTCTCTAGAACGACACCTACCTTCATCCAGGATGTACAATAAAGGGACGTTTATTAGTTGTGATCTATGATTTGGGCAGTACTACCAAGGGAGTACTGTATTCAGAGTCCAATCTTGGCAGTTGATGTTTGAGAAAGAAAATATGTGCTCAGAGCCCAGATGTTAGATTCAGATGATCGGCATGGGATGGAATGCAACAGAAAAGAGTAAGATGAGATGTAGTTTTGTTTAGGTAGACATACATCTAAGGAGGGGGAGTCTAGAAGAAGTGAGTTTTCAGACAAGTTTCAGGATAGGGAGAGGTGAAATAAGAAGGGAATGAGACGTTGGGAGAGCCACAAGGGGAAGGGGCAGCTTTTTGGTCAGCACAAAATCAAATACAAAGAGAGGAGAAGCAGGAAAGCCCATAGCTTCAGATTGATAGATAATCCCAAATTCTTAGACTAGCTGGTGATGTCCTCCACGAGGACTAACCTACGCTCATGGGATCTTCTCCAGCTACTGTGAAGAGATCCCTGTAGAAGAGAATGAAGTGAATGACAGCTCATCCAAAAGCAGCATAGAGACCAAGCCTGATGCCAGTCCCCAGCTGCCCAAGAAGTCCATCACCAACAGTACACTCACCTCTACAGGAAGCAGTGAAGCACCTGTCTCGGTATGGGCCATAAACTCTGGGTTAACCCCTGCCCCATTAGTGGCCATTTTCTCCTAGTTTAATTAACCCCACATGAGCCCCACTGGGAGCAGGGAAGTAGGAAGGGGTCACCATGACAAAAGGGAGCATCCTAGAACTCGTGAGCTCTTAGTGCATTGATATATTCCAGATGCCCAGAACTAGATGCTCAGCATCTTGTTTACATGATTTGGCTTGACAAATGAGAAGATAAAAAGTACTCTAAGTCTTCTCAAAGTGTAACCCTTGGTGGAATACTCCAGACAGCCTCTCTTTTTGGATATCTTTCCTGGGTTTCTTCCCCTCTAAATGCCTACCCCATGCCCTGCTTCCCTGCCTTGATCCAAATTCAAAATCACACATGAATGTAGAACCGTAGGACAGTTAATTGCTTATTCATGTATATCATGAATGTTTGTTGATGAGTTCCTTTGCAGTTTATTTTCCCATTATTCTAGAGTTTATGGAGACTATATAAATGTCTGTGAGGACCTTTCTCCTCAGAACACTGTTGCAAAGAAGCCAGAACTTTGCTGCAGGGTTAGAACATATGTCAGCAAGAAGGGGCTGGGTTCCTTGGGAAAGGACTCTAGGAAAAGGGAACCCTTTACTTCATATCTGGTGACCAGGCTAATGAAAGTGTCATTGATGCCTAGCCTTCATTTTCTATCTCTGAGATTAGCTTTAAAATAGAATCAATCCTCTCCCAGTGCCAGTGAGAGAATGAAGCCCCAAACTTGCCCGTGAAGCCCTCTGAGATCCTGAGGAAAGGGATGTTGTTTATAGGCAGGCTGGCATTGTAGCAACATGGTAGGAATAGAGCTCCAGAAAGGGCCTAGAATGGGAGCACCACCCATCGACCAGTGTGCCATTTGGATGGCATGGAAAGGGCAGTGAGCGCTTGGCTGTGTGCTCTCTCTCAGTCTCAGCACCTGACCGCCTGGTCCTGAGCAGCAGTGATGCTGGGGATGGGATGACTTCTAAGGCTGGGTTGCTGGTCTCCTTCTGAAGAGTTGTTCCATGGAGAGGGACCCTGGTGGGTGTTTCTTGATCTCCACTGCAGTTTGATGGCTTGCCGCTGGAGGAAGAGGTGATGGAGGGTGATGGGTCCCTGGAGAAGGAGCTTGCCATTGACAACATCATAGGAGAGAAGATTGAGATCATTGCGCCAGTGACCTCCCCTTCACTGGACTTCAATGACAATGAGGATATCCCCACCGAGCTCAGTGATTCCTCAGATACCCATGATGAAGGTGAGCCTCTTAGCACGTGTCTGGAGCATCCCTTCACCTCTCCATCATGTAGCATGAAAGGAAGTTCCTGGCTTGATCCTTGAGTCAGAATCTAGGTTCTGAATCTCAGATTGTGCCCCAGACCAGGCAGCCAAGGTCCTAGAGAAGGGAAGTGATGCAGGCAAAAGCATTAACAGCGAGCCCATGGTCCCAGCCACCTTCTGCTTGGTGGTAGTGCCTGCATTAGCCATGGAGGTACCAGTGCCTCCCCCCCCCCCATGTCACCACAGCTTCCTGCCCTCCTCAGTCACTGTCTACTTCATTCACTCTTCTTCACAGGAGAGGTCCAGGCCTTCTATGAGGACCTGAGTGGAAGACAGTATGTGAACGAGGTCTTCAACTTCAGCGTGGACAAACTGTATGACCTGCTGTTCACCAACTCACCCTTCCTCCGGGACTTCATGGAGCAACGGCGCTTCTCTGGTCTGACCTGCGGACTGGCCCCTCCCTGACTGCCCATGCTTTCCTCCATCATTCATCCTCCTCCTCCTCCTTCTTTTTGCCTACCTCTTTCCAGATACTGTTCTTTTCCCAGTGACACAGGCTCTTCTTTCTGGCCCTATGTGCTGCCAGAGGTCCTCTAGGATTCTCTGGCCCTCTCTGTCACTAGTACTTCAGGTTGTCATATGGCCACTGTCCACCAGACTCTAAAGATTTCCCAGTGAGCAGGGCCTGCCAGTTCTTAGTCCCCACAGGGCTCTGTCTACTATAGGGCAGCTGTTCTGCTGTTTGAGAGACACCCACTGTACTGAGTGGATTGCATTGGCTCATTCAGTCCTCAGCTGTGCCTTGGGGTCCCTGGCACTAGGGGTTTTAGGAATCTGAACTCCAGGTGGTTATGTACCTGCCTGTAGAAAGTTAGCCTGGAAGGGCTGTGTGAGGATCCAATCCGTATCTGGTACCCTGGGAGCTCTGTGTCTGTTCTCACTCTCACTCACTTTTCCCCACAGCACAGATGTAACTTTGCCTCTCAGAGATGCCAGTCATCCCCTCTGAGCAAAAGCTCTAGGCAACAAAGGCACCCTTTGCAAGAAGAGGCACCTTGAGGCCATGGGGTGGCTATACTCCCTGGGGATCTGGTACCCTTGCCACAGTGGCTCCAATGTTGCCTGCACCCCCGCAGGTGGCCCCAAGACCTCGTGCCCCAGCCTTGGAACAGTCAGCATTATGGAGCTCTCTGTAGAATTTCGGCAATGCCACAATGACTCCTTTCTGCTCCAACTCCACCTCTCCTTCACCAACTCCCCCAGCTTTCAAACTCCCATTGGTTTCCAGGGGACGGGGTGGTCAGTAGTCAGCATGGGGCAAGGAGTTCATTGGAGGGGAGATTCAGGCAAGTGGAGTTGTGCTGTTCCCCACCCCCTCATCCCAGGGCTCTCGTCTACCCTCAGATATCATCTTCCACCCATGGAAAAAGGAGGAGAATGGAAACCAGAGCCGTGTGATCCTCTACACCATTACCCTTACCAACCCCCTGGCTCCCAAAACCGCCACTGTCAGGGAGACGCAGGTGAGCAGGAGAGGAAAGAACCGAGCTAGAGTGTATTTGGAAGTACTGTCACATCCTGTGGGATGAAAGCTGGACTTGGGAGGTGTTTCTGCATCTAGGCTTGGTGTAGTCCAGAGGCAGCAGCATCCAGCTACCTCAGATGCCACCAAGTCAAGTGATGTCACACTTTCCATTTAGGACTCCTGGGCTAGGGATATGGGAAAGGGTGCTGTTCCTGTTTGTTTGGCTTCTCCTCAGTCAATGGTCAATGGTGCTTCCCTCCCTACAGACCATGTACAAAGCGAGTCAGGAGAGTGAATGCTACGTGATAGATGCTGAAGTCCTTACCCACGATGTGCCATACCATGATTACTTCTACACCATCAATCGCTACACGCTCACCCGCGTGGCCCGGAACAAGTGTCGACTCAGGTGTGCAGTGTGAAGGCTTATATGGGTGTAGGTGGGGGAAAGCATCCAAATTATGCAGTGCCCATTTGCTCCTTGGGGAGAAGGAGAGCTGGTTACTCTCACTTGTACATCCTCCCTGGGTCCTTCTGAGACTCCTCACCTTCCCATCCAGAATTCATTCTTTTCCATCCCATGTCACCTTGAGCTCTCTGCATCTTCTTTGGAAGATCTTCAGCAAGCCTACTGTTCATTTTGTATGCTTTAAATGGAACTGTGTAGGGACTTAAACTACATCCATCTGTTGGGCTTTTTAGAATAATAACCCAAGGAGATGAGTTACCCTCATTTATCAGAAGAGTAACTTTGCCAAGAATTGTGTCCCAGGTTCATACTGAATTCATATCAATAGGACCCTGTGCCCTTTGCTCCATGCCCTGTGTGATAGGATTTCCTGTTGTTTCCACGGTTAGCCAATGAGCTTCTACAAACCTAACCTAATCCTGACCTAACACAACCAGCTCTCTGTACTTAGCTTGCTCACATTATATTCAGATGAAGTTAGTTCTGGTTACAGTGATGTCCACTCAGAGGAAGGGGGAAATATAGACCATGACACTAGAAGAAGTGTGTAGTCTAATTGTGAAATCAGCACACACATATTTGAAAATCATCATGGCTGATGGCAGCTAGACATTCTCAGGAAGAGGAGGAGCTAGCCCATTCTCCATGCAGAAAACAGATACTGGGTGGGAATTTAAGAAGACTCCAAGCATGGCCATGTTCCTGTTAGGCCCGGAGGAGGGTAGCACCCTGGTGAGGCAGAACATCAGGACAAACAGCCCTGATGTGTGTAAGGGTTATGTTGGGGAAGATCTACTGACAGATGCTCATAAACCCAAGGAAGAGGCAGAGGGCAAGGCTTTTACATGGGAGGGTAGAGTGTGATGGGAGACAGATGCTCAGAAGGGCTTGGGTGTAGCCTAGAGGCAGGCAGGTGAGAAGACACTCAAAGTTGTACATGATGAGGCACTAGAGTCCCTACTTGGATTTAAAAGGGCTTGACTTCCATTTCTAAACTTTCTCTTGATTGGCTGGGAAGCTGCAGAGCATATACTGCCTCCTCCCTGCAACTCTCCACACACATACACACCAGGGGGCCACAGCATGGCAACATATTGCTAACCTCTGATCTTCTATGCTTCGAAACCTGTTTTCCCAATATGAATGACTCATCTCGTTTCTTCAGGGTCTCCACAGAGCTCCGCTATCGAAAACAGCCCTGGGGGTTTGTAAAAACTTTCATTGAGAAGAACTTCTGGAGTGGATTGGAGGACTACTTCCGCCATTTAGGTGGGTGCCACACTCCTCATGTCATCTGGCCTGAACCTTCCCTTGTTGGCCTGTGCAGCTGCAGGCTGCCATTCAGGGGATTGGGAAGCCTGGAGAACACGGGGGTCTCTAAGACCATAAATTAGTTTCATAGGGTCCCTAATTCTGCCCTTGAAATGAGCATCAAGTTTGATATCTGGGAATGGTATCTTTCAAGAGACTGTGCCTGTAGCATTGAGATCATTAAGGAGGGGCTGTGATTTTTGCCTACCCTCAGATGTAGTGACATTGGCATTGAGTCATCTTATTATAAGAAAGATCTGAGGGCATCTATTTAGGGAATGTGTGATATGCCATAAATTATATACATGGAGGTGCGAAGTTGGAATATGGTTTTCTAAGCAATATTTTGCCTCAACCCTTGCCATGGCATCTCTGAGGGTCATCTTCCCACCAAGCCAGCTTCCTAGGGTACGGTTGTAGAAATATGGTACTACTAGAGAGCTGCTTCTGGTGGACATTATGTTGGGCTGAAGCTATAGGTCTCTGACGTGGCCCTTTTGTGTCTGACAGAGTCCGAGCTAACCAAAACGGAGAGTACCTACCTGGCTGAGATGCATAGACAGTCACCCAAGGAAAAGGCCAATAAGTCTTCAGCAGTTCGGAGGAGGAAGCGTCCCCATGCCCACCTGAGGGTACCTCACCTGGAAGAGGTGATGAGCCCTGTCACCACACCCACTGATGAAGATGTGGGCCACAGGATCAAGCACGTGGCAGGTAGATCAGGGCTATGGGATGATGCTGCATGCCTCTGTCATGACATATGTGTGCGCACCCATGAGTAAAATGTGTCACTTGTCCCTCACAGACCTACCAAGTGCCTGCCTGCCTGCCTGCCTGCTTGTCCAGGCTGTGGATTCCTCTTATATTTTTTCCTCTTGTCATCTGTCCTTTTAGTCCTTATGCATATTTTCTGTTGTGAAAACCTGGGGCTCTCCAAGGGACTAGAGACTATGATTCCAGTGTTTACATACCATGCTTTGTATATGCTTGCGAGTTTATCAGTGCTGTGTGGGGACAGGAGAGCACCACTATTTCCCATGCATTCCCCATTCCAGCTGGAGCACTCTATTGTTACATGTTTAAGGTGTATATGATTGATGTCCCATTTTAGTAGACTGATTGAGAGAAGTTACATATCTTGCCCTGACATCATGTAGCTGATTACAAAGCCAGGGCCAGGAGCCCTCTGCCTGTAGCCTGTCTTCCTCAGCCAAACACATCTCTATATCCTAGTTACATAGCTATGTTTTCTCTTTGTTCAGTAATTATCTGACCCAAGCCTTGACTTTGTAACCTTTGCCTCCTCTCAAGATGTGAGACCAAGGTCTCTGGAAGCATGATGCACAGCTCCCTGGTACCCTGTCAGCAGTGTGTGTGTGGACTTGTGGCCTGTGAAGATGATGACGACCTATTTTTTCTCCCACAGGTTCCACGCAGACGCGGCATATTCCCGAGGACACTCCCAACGGTTTTCACCTACAGAGTGTGTCCAAGCTGCTGCTGGTTATCAGCTGTGTGTAAGACACTCCAGGATCTTCTCCCTCCCTGGCCCCAACATCTTCCTCCTCCTGCCTGGTGCAGACAGAAGAGTCATCCTCATCTCTCGAGCATACACTCCCCCTTACTTTCCCTCCTTTCTTCTCTTTGTTCCTTTGTCCAGTCCTCACTGAATCAGTTGCTCATTCATTACCTTTTTCTGTTTCTTTGCCCCTTCTCAGCACTTCTTGTGTGTTAGCCTTCTAGGGGGAAAATGGTGCATGCAGTGTCTACGCCAAGTGGGTGAGAGAGGTAGAATGCTTAGAATCCCTTCTCAAGATAAATGCTGACTGACATAGGGATGCTTCAGGACATTTTAAGAGTTCATTAATTTATATGAGGTACTCTTGAGTGTCTGCTCTGGGCCCAGCATGAGAGCCATACACAGAGTCCTCACTGGCTGGGTAGCCAGACAAAATCAATGGTTCCAGTCCAGGGAGAGCAGATGCTTATTTCAATGTAGATGACTTATAATTATCACATCATTACAAAACCATAGGGTCGATAGCTTGCACAATAAGTTGAGCTGGGCAACGAGAAGCCAAAAGAAATGAAGGCATGAGATAGAAGAACACAGCTGTCTTGTATGTGAGTCCTTGTCATATGCTAAACCATTTGAACAAAAGGCATTTGGAGCAGCTAAAGACAGCTTTTCTGCTTGGCTCAGCCTGCAGCCTGGCATCCCATTCCTTTGGATTGGGAATGAGGTGTGAGTGTAGGTGGCACAGGTGGATGAGAGGCACAGTAAATACCCGCATGTGTACTCTACCTTCTGTCCACCAGGCATCATGCCACCTCTGGGTCAGTATTGCTCTGTGTCCCTTCTGTACTTTTCCCTGAAGCATCCTCATAGGGATGTGAGAGGACATCCTTACTCTCAGGACACTCTGGGGGGGGGGGAGCTCACAAGTGGCACAGTCAGACCAGCACTGTGTTAATAACACGGATGGATTGACAAAGACTGGAAGCAGCGTGGGTGCCACCAAACTGAGAGGACAGAGTGGGCATGAGAGGTCACAGATGGAAGAGCTCACTAACACTTCAGCTATATCTCAAAGGAAGACCAGCTTCCTACAGGGACCACAAGTGCTTGTGTCAACAGAAATTTGGAGTTTAATTGGAAGTCATCAGAGAAGACAGACCAGAGACCAACCCAGAAATGTCTGGGTTACAATAGATTGCTGGTGTGGGCTTGGCTCTTAGAAGAGAGAGTAAAGCTGTGGATTTAAATGAGACCATGAATACGGAATGTGACAGAAGTGGGGCCAGGGACTACCTTGTGACTTCTTATAGGAGAGAAGCCTGCTGAGAATACGAAGGGTTCTTGCTACTCCTGGAGGCATAGCATGAAAATATATTCAGGTTCTTCAGATGATAGCATAAGAAACCGTGATAGAACGGCATAGTTAAAACTATGCCAGGTATTGGGTACTGGTCAGTAAGAGGCTATAACCTTGGTTAGTCATATTTATACTCTCTCTGCAATTCAGTTTTCCTTATTAGACAAGGCCCACTCAAGCGGGCCGATCCCATAGGCAACAGCTAAATCTGTGCCTTGGTAAGTTTAGGATAGTAGGGCCTTCTGACTCAACACAATGCTCTCCAGGCTAGGGTTCTAATAGCCTGCATTTAGAACACACTGACACAGTATGGCTTACCCATGTCTGGCAGGCTCTTGCCATCATCCACCCTCAGTGTGGTGACTCAACCTCCCACCTCTTTGTCTCTGGTTGGCACACTGGGGAGTCTTTCCTCAGACAGCACATGACCTTTACTTAAAACACCCAGGATGATATACACAAACCAAAGTGTGAGGTGGGATGTGGCACACACTGAGGAGGCGGGCATTCAAATGATTCAGCATGTGCTGACACAGTCAGATGACAGTGTTGACATGCAACACAAAAGCTGAGTGTTCTCCTGGAGAACTTAGGTTAGCCCCAGGGACCTGTAGCTGACAGAAGAGTGACACGCCCATCCAATAGTGCTGGAGAAACAAGTCAGGTGCTGGACATTACTTTCACACACTGGCTTTGTGTGTTTTCTATGGCACAGTCTAAATCTCATGTGATTTCTTCCCTTTGTTGGCCCCTTTTCCGCTTATGACTTGCCTTCCCAATTTGGCCATCTTCTCTCTTCCTGTGCATACCTGCCCTTGCCAAATTCTTTTGTGTTAAGAATCAGCTCTTAAGGTGGACCTTCTGATAAAGCTTATGTTCCTTTCCATCCATAGACCAGCCAGCAGGTTAGGTGTGATATCCCTCATGAGAAAACCATTTCAGGGTAGATGAGAAACATTTACGGAAGTCTGAAAAGATTTGTAGGTGACGCACTAAGATTCATCCCCAGTTCTGCCTGTCTCTGAGTCTTCTCCGCATCCCTGCCTTTTGCTCTTACCCCATGAGCCTCTGTCACAGAATGGCCTAGGCAGCCACTGAGGTAGAGAGGAGATAATCCCCAGCCTCCTCTCTGCTGTCCTCCCACCTCCCACCCTTGGCATCCTTTGCTTCTGATCCCTGCCAGATAGTTGGTGAGTAGAGGGAGAAGACACTGTAGCCTCAGGGAGGTACCAGTACCCATAAGGCATAGCAGTTCCACCTTCAGCCTCACCCTTCAAGTATGGCATGACTTTGGGTTGGTAGGAAAACCTCTTGATTTAGCACCCCTGGAAAACTATGTCTGCAGCTACTTTCCCTCCATCCTTCCTTGCCTGTTTGCCTTGTCCATTGTGTCTGCTTCTCATGGTTTTTTTTTTGTTTGTTTGTTTGTTTTTGTTTTTGTTTGTTTGTTTCGTTTCGTTTTGTTTTTCCTAGATGCTCACTTGCTCTCTGGCTCCATTGAAGTGCATTTTATCCTTCCCCACACTCCTGTTTCTAACCTCTGCCTCCTCCTCATTTTTCTCCCTTGCTCTCATTAGGATCTGTTTCAGGTATCAGCTCTATGATTGTTCCCTTTACCTCATCACTCCCCCCCTCCACCTGTGCTGTTTCCCCCCAGGCACCCAGATTCAGGTGCCTGTGCCTCCCCTACCTGTGCCTTCAATACCTTTGCTTACACCTCTCTCCATGGCTCTCCTGCTCTGTCACTGACCCAGTAGACTAGATTGCTTCTCTTTCTCCAACCATTGCTATAATCCCTTCAACTACCTCACCCCTCTGTAATGCTTGGGTTGGCCCAGCAAGCAGGCTCATGTGGACTCATGGGTAGGTGGGGAGATCCCTGGCCCACATGCCAACTCACTGCCCTTCCTTTCCCCCATGTCTCCCTCCCAGTCTGGTGCTGCTGGTCATCCTTAACATGATGCTCTTCTACAAGCTATGGATGCTGGAATACACCACACAGACCCTGACGGCCTGGCAGGGCCTCAGGCTCCAGGAAAGGTAATATCAACCTCACCTCTTCGTCCCCATCTGAACCCCATCCAATTGCCTGGGACTGTCCCATTGCCTGTGCTCAGGGGACACCCCTTTGAGATGCATCTATAGTCTGGTTCTAGAAATCTGTCATTGGGTTTCAGTCTAAGTTTCAGGACAGTGGGTACCCTAGAGCACTGAGCAGAAGAGAGAGCACTCAGATGTGCCTTTCTGTCCTTTGGGAGCACACACCAGCCCACTGAGCATAACTCCAGTTGTTGGGTACCCTTTCTTCTACCCCACAGGTTACCCCAATCTCAGACAGAATGGGCTCAGCTGTTAGAATCCCAACAAAAGTACCATGATACCGAGCTCCAGAAATGGAGGGAGATCATCAAATCCTCAGTGATGCTCCTTGACCAGGTGAGATGCTCACGGTCCCTCACCTTGAGGAGCCTGGGCTCCTTCTGTACTGAGAAATGTCACTGTGTTCCCTTTCCACCATTCTGATGTCAGCTTCCTTTTTATTATTATTCTGGCCCATCCATTGATTTCCTTTTAAAGCTGTTCCTCAATGAAGTATTAGAAGCACAAGCAACAATAACAAGAAATAGATTAATAGCCAGAGGGATGTAGGACAGGCTTTTCTTATAGAGAAATACTGTATGGTAATTTGTCTTCCTAGAGGATGTGTATATTGACTTTCTTTGAGGGGCCAGTGAAATGGTTCAGCTACTAAAGACTCTTGAAGGAGAGACTCCTGTATGCTGTCCTCTAAACTCCACATGTATACCCCTCATGCACAGAACATGGGCCCCTTTTCCCACCCGATGAGTTGATTTAGAACCGGAGAAATCAGAACAGTAGGTGATGCAGAGAGACCAGGAGTTAGTTCTCAGTGCATTGAGACAGACTATCACCTTGTCATTATAACAGAGTAGATTACTTAGACAGTATTTAAACAAGCTGCTATGTAATGGACCATTTAAGTCTCTCCAACTGGAGCTGTCCCTTTTGAACCTCATTCTAAGACCTCAGAATATTAATTTCCTGCTACGGAGCTGATCAAACACCTGCCTTCTCTCTACTTGACACCACTGTGCATGTCTGTTTTAGTTCTAAGAAATAGTAGGTAAAGCAGCTCCTGAGGAGGCAACCTAGAGACCCTGTGTGTCTGACAGGTCAGGAGACAAAGGATGACTGTAACCATAGAAATTTGTGTTGCTTCTGGTCCTTTCCAGCTGGGTAAAACTGGAGCAGGGGAATTGGAAAGCATCCCAGCCCAGGAGAAACATGGGACAAGGTTAAATTTAGGATCAGAGTTGAAGGTCAAGAAAATGGTAGTTAAAGGTGGCTCCTTAGAGCGACTGGTAACTCATTAATGTAAGAGTCACAAATAACCAAGCCCAAGGAATTTCCAGCGCTGGACTGGCTGACCCCTTTCTGCCTCAGGCTGAGACTTCTGGTAGCCACCCTTGTGTTGGATTTGTTTTCTGTGTCATGGTGAGGAGTGGGCCACAGATGGGTGTGACACCTGCCACTTTTTGGAGACTCACTGGGAGCACTGTCTTACAGATGAAGGACTCACTCATCAACCTTCAGAATGGCATCAGGTCCCGAGACTACACGACTGAAAGCGAGGAGAAGAGGAACCGCTATCATTGACAAGGCAGGACCAGGGGTGGCTGCCAGAGGCCTGTGCAATACATGTACATAGACCCTATAAATATATATAAATATATATATACAGAATATAAATATATATTATATACAGATTTTAAAAAAAAAGAGATAATGCCTATGTACCAGGGAGAAGGAGCGGGAACTCCCGCCCCCTGTGCCGGCCAGAGCAGCATTTTCCCTCCACTGTGGAGGGACTGAGGAGGGCAGGGACCACCTCTCAGCACCGACCTCCCCTGATCCTCCTCTTCCCATCTTCTGTTCCTCATCCCTTCCCTTGCTGGCCATTCTTGGCCCTTAGAAGGGAAATGTGGCTGAGCCAAAGTTAATGCCTGTGAAGACCCTTGGGTCTTAAAAGACATTCAAGAAGGCATTGCTTAAGGTGCTTCATTCCCTAATCCTCTTTTGATTTGTCTCTAGAATAAAAGAGAACCTGTTCTCCTCCCCCCCAACCCAATGCTTCCCCAGGCCTTCTCTTGGGAGCATGAAGAATGGAGAGGGCAGGAGCCCTATTCAGTGCCCCGCAGGAGACCATTGGTTAGGACTACACTGAAAGCCAGGTGGCGAGGACTGTGGCAGAGGCTGCATCTGTGGGCCAGGGCTGTGAGGCTGCAGGCTCCTGAGCTCTGGCATCTGAAGGGAATTCTCCTCAGCCACCCCCACACCTTCTGACCTGAGTAGGTTGTGGACCCCACAAGGGCTGGGAATCTCTAACCCTCCCATTTCCTTTCTCTCTGGTCTTCTCCCAGGCTGGATCTGGGAGAAGTGTCACTTTTTAGTGCCTAAAGTCCTATTGTTTCTCTGTGTCCTAAGAACACATTGTTTCTTAGCCAGGGTGGAGCCTTTTTGACCTTGTTAAAAACAAAAAAACAAAAAACAAAACAAAAACAAAAAAAAAAAAAACAAAAAAACAAAAACAAACAAACAAAAAAAAAAAAAACAAAAACAAAAACCTCTTTTAGTGGTTATAAACCAGTCAGGTCTGTGGCTCTAATTCTTTCCCTTTGAGCTGTGAGTCTGATGTCCAGGGTGGTAAGTCAGGGTATCCTAGAACCTCCAGGCTTTAGGAGACAGAATGATCTAGAAACATGGATTGCAGGGCTTGCCCAGAATCCTGTGTGAGTAGTGAGCACAGTAGCTAAGCCAATCTGAGGGCTAACAGCACTGTTAACTCTTGGTAAAGAACCAGTGTTAGCAATAGAGGCATTTGTGTGCCACTGTGTGGGAAAATGTATGAGCCACTGGAGGGAGGATTAGGCACAGATGTGTATGTTTGATCAGGGAGAGGCCAAGTGAAACCTGGCCCACATAGAGGCCACCTCAGTTCTATGTTTCTCAGGTTTGGGAGTGGGGGTTTTGACTGTGTGTGTGTGTGTGTGTGTGTGTGTGTGTGTGTAAATCTCTCTCTGTGTATAGTCCCTGGCCCCAGTGAGGTATAAAGTCACCAAGAAATAAAAAGAAGATGCTACTTTAGGAATGAGGAACTTGAACCAGTCAGGGCCTTCTTAATGTTAACCCATCAGGACTCAGGCTTTTATATGATCTCAAGGGGCCCTTCTGGGCAGACCCATCATCCTCCCTTACAGAATCTCCTGCTCTTCAATCTGATGACTCAAGGAACCCTGCCAGCCCCTGGCAGAGCTCATGGAGATCCATAGTAGTAAAGAATTGCTGCCAGGTTGGCACAAAGGCTTCTCTAAGCTGGCCTCTTCTCCTGGGCTTCTCAAGTCCAGAGGAAGAAGGAACCCCAGACTTCCCAGAGCATCCCTACAAAGAGAACAAGAAGGCACTGGTTACCTACCGCAAAGAGAAAGTTACTTTCTCCTCTTAGAATTGTCTGGACCTTCCATTTAGGCAGTGAAAGGAAGGCATTGATGTTGCAGTGCCCCGGAGAAGTAGGTCTTGGTGTTTCTAGAAGGGCAGAATCAAACAATAGGATATATCCTTGGGTCATCCTCTGATGAAGGGAGGAGAAGGCTTGGCGCTTTAGCTACCATTACTCTTCCGGGACAACAGGGGTGAGGAAATGGATTCATTGTTCCTCTACAATGGTCAAGGCCCAAAGACCAGTTGGCTCTCTTGGTTTTTTCACGGTTTTGAGGGATTTGCTGGTAAAGATCGAGACCTGGGACAAAGAAGGGCAAACGGTACCATTTGAAATGCTAGCTTCCCCTTGGAATAGCCAGAAGCCACACATATTCCCAGAAACTCTGAAGGCAAAGTTGGAAATTCTCAAATTTATTGCATATGTAGTTATTTACTTACTTGAGTTGAACTGTTAATGTAGCAGGATCCTTTTGGATGATTTCAAAGTTGTTCACAGAAGTAGCCCCGACCACAAAGAGCTGCTTCTCTTTAGCCAGAAATATCATTTAGGGGAGGAGAACACCCGCTGGGGAGTGAGCCTCCTGTTTTCTGATGGCCCCCGATAGCATGTATACATGAGGGACAGAATCATGGCTTTCCTCTGAGTTGCTTTTGTTTTACCATTAGCTTGGGCTTTTAAACTACGAAGAAGCCAACATTGTAGGCTATTCCTAAACAAAACCCCTCCCCACCCTTAGTCACTAATCTGTGAAAGAGAAGGGAGCTCACCCTTGCAACTAAAACAAGTGCCCTGGACAATAGCCTGGCACGTGGCAACTGTCTGCAGGAGGCCATGGAAGCTGGCATGCCTTGGGTGACTTCTTCCAACTGGCAGGGTGCATCTATTTATTTATTGTAGACATATATTGACTTTTCTATGAGGGTTTGTATATCAAGACAGTCAAGTGCTTTCACTTGACTCTCCTAAGAGTGGAGAGATCTGGGCTTGAGTCCTGACTGTGCTGTTGAAAAGTTGTGTGGCCTTGGTTAAGTCCCCATCACTGAGCTTCAGGATCAATTTGTAACAGGCAAGGGTCAGTAAGTGACCTCTAATATGGGTTCTAGGTTTGACCTTGACTCAGAGATTAGTCAAGAGACTAGGGAGATCTAAGTTTCCAGTTTTGGAAGATGTCCTGTCAGGGCAGATGAGCTTTGTTCTTGACTAGGTCTAGGGAGCCCAGTGGCAGGGATAGCCTTGCTCAGCATTAACCTGGGAGACCTTCCTCCTTTGGCCTAGTTTTAGTATGGAATTGGTTCAGGCTTAGAGGGTAACAGCAAGAAGAGTAGCATTTTGGACGGAGGCCATCTTCCCCAGGCACTGTGAATCCTTTGTACTGTCCATATTCCTTCCTCACTGATGGAGGACACAATGGGAAGAAGCCATTCCCAGTTTAAGAACTTCTGTTTTGCTCAGCCAAAATCCTTTTGTGGTTTGGATAAATTGGGAAACATTTACTAAAATCCTTGGCTTGCCTTAGGACATAGGCATCAAGGAGTGGGGAGCACCGGGGAACCTCAAGAGGAATTTACCACAAGTGGATTCTCTATTTGTCCATAGCCTCTCACCTATGCTGGGACTGGACTACTATTATCATAGACAGCATTTGTAAGATGAGGTGTTGGGGAAAGGACTGGCTAGGGGAAGACTCTTTCTGGACTACTTGCTCCCAGAAGGGTCCTTTCTGTGCCACCATCCTACTTCCTTGGCTCTGCAGGTCAGCCTAAAGCCAGCCCTTCTCACTAGGGCCTAGGAGAAATAGCACTCTTCTCTGTCACCAGGTGCCAGGGCTATGGTAGCCCTTTCTACACACCTGGACTCTGCCTGCCCTCTCCAAGACTCTCTCCCTTTCCCCCAACACCATCCCTGTCTCTAAGCCATGGAGCAATGATTCCCATTTTCCCTTTGCCATTCTCAACCCTTGTCCCTCTACTCCCACCCCACTCCAGCAGGCTGGCCCCACTCCCTTCCGTCTCCAAGTCTTCTTCTAGAAGATGCGTTTGGGTCTCAGAGGAGTGTTTTCTGGAAGGCCCTCTTTCAACATCCCTGAATTCCTGATATGAATCAGGAATTTGCACTTGGTGTAGAGAGCTCCCTCTCCCACCTCTCTGCCCAGCCTCGTTACCTCACTCCCGCTCCAGCCATTGTGATGGGCTCAGCCAGCTCCCTGTTGTAGTGTGCCATGCAACAGCTCAGGGGTCTTGTGACTCAGAGGTCCTCAGCAGGCCTGGGAGCCCGGATTGGAGCCTTGGTTGCCGATGTGAAGTACTTACCTGCCAAGATTTGCTGATGCCAGACGATCTTCCCAGCATGTGAATGCTTAATGGACATTGTCATCTCTGCCCTTTGGTCCTCCTTGCTTCTCTCGATACAATAAGACACCTCAGAAGCAAAATGCAAATGACAGCCCTTGCTCCAGGCAGGACATGAGGCTGTTTGGGAAGCCGGCCCAGGCCTTCTGTGTTGTGTGCATAGACTGCACAGTAAAACAGTCACTTTTGCCAACAAGAATGTGTGGCATCCCACATCTCCTTCCCTTGCACTCTAGGGCCAGACCACTCTCTGCATGGACCAGACCATCTTCCCAAACCCATGGTGCTTTCCCCCGCCCCTTCACTCAACCTAGACTCTGAGGTGGGGAGGGATGGATCAGGGGCCATAGTGGCCCATGGATAATCCTGACATGGGGAGGAGGAGGGTGAGGCAGAGGGAGCAGCACCCAACACCTACACTGGGCCACAAGTGGGAAAGAACACGGGTTGGTTGCAGTTGAGTTGTCTGGCCGTCTGTATTTGGATCTATAACTGTACTTTGCCTGGCGCTGTGCGCAAGGTCTGAAAATACTGCTAGTACCTAGAAACATACAAGGCTACCCAGCCAAATCATAATGTAAAGTAGCTAGAGCCATGGAAGCCCAGTATGAATTAAAGGAAAAAAGTATTGAATTACAAATAAGAAATGGTGTGTGTGTTTATTGCTTGGTCCATTGGTATTCCCTCATCCCCAGTGTTCCTGACGTCCCTAGATATGCTCACAGCAAGTCATGAAGGCATGTGTGAACAGGCATGTTGCTCACATACACACCTCCATCTCAGGTAGGGAATAGCCTGATTAAGTGGAATGGCTAGGGTTTCAAATTTTTATTTACTCCGTGTTCGATATTTC